TCCTTCCATCCTTCCATCCTTCCATCCTTCCGAGGTGGGTAAAATGAGGACCCGGATTGTTGGGGGCAATATGCTGACTCTCTGTAAACCGCTTAGAGAGGGCTGAAAGCCCTATGAAGCGGTATATAAGTCTACTGCTATTGCTATGTTGTACGTAGAATTTTCTTCTTCTAAGGATCTAGATTTTGTCCTGGCATTTTACTGTTCAGTATTTAATTCATTATGTGGGCACCTTTGAGACAGAGAAACAACAACTCAAGCAAATTAACTATACATTGTTTAACAGGTAAGTGGACACTTATAAGCCATGAATTATATGCAACCCTTGACTGCTACTATAGAATAGTCTACACTTTTACTCATAGAGATCTGAGAGAGTGTCTGGTTCGGCAAGACCCAACTGTTCAATCATCAGACTGATGTTTTCTTGAGCAAGATCCTTGCTAATTCAAGTTTTAATTTGCCTTCCCTGACAAATCCCACTGATATGGGTGAACATGAGATAATTTGTGAATAGTTTTGCATATGTATCTGAGAGAGTTGTGTCATCATAACCTCATCCATTACTTTTTTTTACAGGAACATAGCAACCAGCATGATTTCCCATTCAAAAAGGTTCCCAAATCTAGCTTGGCAAAGTTCAAGACGATAAATAAATTTGGGCAGAGTACCTAGACTTTCCATCAGCATGTCAGTAGAAATGTGGCCTTCTTCTAACAGCTGTTTTCTTGCACTGTCACTGTCCACCCGGAGTTCAGACACCATGTTGCAGGGTATGAACCCTGTTCTTCCTGCACATTCCCCTCTGTAGAAACCATCTGCGTCTTTGTGACCATAGACCTGTGAAAGGGAGAGGCAGAGAATCAATCGCAATAGTACCAAAATAATATTTGCTAATGTCCATTTACTTCTTTCAACCCATAGCTAAATTCATCCCCAAGAGGCTTACAATAATGGGATCTTCCAATGTTTCTCAATCTTGGTGTCTTGAAGATGTGGACTTCCTCCCAGAATTCCCCAGCCAGCCAAGCTAACCCATTATTGCAGTCCCAAAACTTGAAGATGGCTGGGGAATTCTGGAAGTTGAAGTCCACATATCTTCAAGACACCAAGGTTGAGAAACATTGGGATATACAAATGCGTAGAATATTCCATTCCAATTCCAATTATCTATCAACCCCAAGAAAAGAGATCTCATGGTCATGATATGGAGCTCAATATGATAACCAGGAGAAAATATGAAACCAAAGCTAGAGGTTGTTATGAGCTGAAGATAATATGTGGGAATTCTTTATAAATCAGTAGCACGTTGGGAATTTTGCATAGCCAGTAGGAGGTAGTGGTTAACAGTGGTCTAAGGCTTAGAAAAGGGACCTTAGGATTCAAATTTCTACTCAGCCATGATGCTTCCTCTGGTGGCCTTGGGAAAGTCATATTAATGTTTCTTAAATATTTGGAAAATATCATCATAGAGATGAAACAACCATTACCTTGCCACAGCATGGGCAGGGAAAATTTTAAGACAGGCTGCATCTGTGTTTGGTTAAAAGCATCCATAACGCTCTATTTAATCAGAGATCTGCACACTACAAGTAGCCTTTGGTTGTTTAACAACTTTAACAACATTGTGACAGACTTTAAAAAAGCTACTTACCATCTGAGCTCAAAGTTATGACCACCACCGTCAACCCACCCCCATGGTCACAGGATCACACTTTGGGCATACGGCAGGTGAATCACACCAGTTGCAATGTCCCAAGGTCACATGATTGTGATTCACAACATTTTTTTGACATTCCTCAGCACTAAATATGTTGCATTTGCTTAACGACCAGATGGTCCATTTATTTAACAACCACCTAATTTACTTAAAGAGACCATACTGACTCAGATTGTCATGAAAATGATCATCAAATTGAATCAGATCACATGGTGACCCGCTTAAAGGCTACAACAACCTACAACCAAAACTCTGGGATCAATTGTGGTCATAAGTCGAGGACTCCCTGTCACTGCACTGGAAATATGACATGACAGCCTCTTTTCAAACCTTCTGGTTCAGCCCAGGAAGATCCAGCAATTATTATTGTTTCCTTCTTTAATGACATCTGCTGAAAATCTGAAGAGGACAATTCTTTCAAATTCATCTGTTTTGAGAACAAAGCCACAATTGGGTTAAGTGGCCTGTGATATGGGAAACAGTAAGAAAGAAAAGACCTCAAGATTGTTGTGTGGGGAGATAGACTCAATAGGTATCTCTCCCACCCTCCACTGCCCTCTCTGTAGTAAAGATAAAGGTAGATGATAAATAAATAAATAAACTGAAGCTGACTTTTGCATGTATTCTCTAGCTTTCTGTGCGCCCAAGTTTGATTAACCATCTTGGAGAACTTCTCCAGTTATTTGTAGTTATTCCAATAAAATTATTTCTGAGCAGAACATTTTGCAGTTGAACCATTGGCCACAGTCATGCATTCTACCAAGCTGTAAACTTTTTAAAAAAAAATAAATACATCAGAGAGTTCTAGATTCACGCACTCTGTGAGAATTGAGCCCTGCCAATAAGCCTCTTCTTGATGTCGCTCATACCTTCAGAATCTGGCCCTCTTGAAATGGAAGCTCCTCTTCGGCAGCATCCCGATTAGGGGACATCGAAACAGGATCATAGTCAAAAAGAGCCACAAACAGACGTGCTGAGCCCTTGTCGTCTGCTGATTCAATGGAAGGACTCCTCCAAGTTCCTAACCAGGACACAAAAACAAACCACAATTGGACCGAGCCTGTGCATCAGGACAGAATTCCTAGCCCTGGTGTTGTGCCTGCAAATTTGGAAGGATGGGCTTGATGCTGCAATTTTAACTCCTTCGCGCACCTGATCTTGTAAAGAGGTTTGGAGCCATCCTTGTTCAACTTTTGCTAAAATTGTCCCCCTCCCCATCTTTAAAACAACCCTAATGGAAACTGCACCTAACTCACCAATAGTTCCACTGAGAGGTGGGGTCCCTTCTTGGCTTTTTCTCAGAGACCTTCTGTCTCTCTGGACAGGGGACTGGTAAGATGTTGAGTCCAACAACCCAGGATTACCTGTCACCTGAAAGAGAACCCTTGGCAGAATCAGTCCCGTGTTTATTCGCTGACATTTCGGCTACACCCTGCAGCAACAGCACAAAATGCAAAGGCTAGAATGCAGCATTCCTCTTTTGCGTATGTTTCCAGAAAACACTGACCAAAAGCAAAGCAAATTCCATAGGCTCAGTTTTGCAGTTAAACTGAATCTGTCATTTTGACGCCAGAATAAATGTTTCCCGCATTCACTGTGAGATCTGCCGTTTGCCGTGAAACTGAGAAATTCTCATTTCCCTTTGAGTTTTCTATACCTTGAGGGCCACTGGATCTTATCAATGAAGGTTACATGGATATAAATTATTCCTAGACCATACTGATCAGATGGCAGCCTCTTTCTGGAAGGCTTTGCAAATAAAAAGAATGTGAATTTGAGATTTAGAATAAAGGGTATTTAAGTTTGCAGACTCTGTCTAAAAATTAACAGGGAAAAGGAATACTGCATTGGATATTTTCAGCCAGTGATGTCTGATTGATAGCCAATCCCAAAGCAAAATATGACAAAAGCCAATAAGGAGTATCACACAAATGGGCTGTAAGTTTCAAATAAAAACAGAAGCCTCTATTTTGTAAAGCACTCAACACAATAAGCAGAATGCAAGCAAGCATAGGAGCAAAGGGTCAAAAGCACAGTCAGAATTGTGGCAAGCTGCTTTAATGACACCAGCTGATGAAGGAAGTGTCTCACAGACCCATGTTTGCACAAGTGGGCCCTCCTTCCAAGCCTGCTCTGGCCTGGCTCCCAAGACAGAAGGACTTTTCTCCCAAGTCCTGTTCCATTCTTCTGGGGCCCCATTGGCCTTCTTCCTCCATCTGCAATGTCCAGATGAATGGCTGGGAGATGTGCTCCAATCCGTGCTCTCTCCCTCCCAACTATTGGATCGCTTCAGTTCTCGTCGCCCACTGGATTGGACTGATCCTGACCGGCTGGAGCAGTCACTCCATTCCTCCTCACAATCTGTGGGTGATCCATCAGCCCTCCCATCCGAACTCAACAGGCTCACTGGTGTGGAAGTGATGGTTAAATCCTCTTCCTCGTTTGAATCATATTCAATGTCAATCTCCAAATTCTCCGGCCTGAGGCAGCGAGGGAGGCTTTGCACAGCTTTCTCCCTTTTCTCTTGGGGCATCATTCTCCTTGGAGGAACTTGATCCAGCCTTTGTCCTGCCCAGCTGCAGAGCTTCAAATCATCCTCCATCTCAAGGCTGGTGATCACATTCAAATTCTCTGTGAGGCTCTGCACTCTGTAAAGACCACCTCCGGTGTAGTAGGAATTGCTCCGCAGAGAAACACTGGGCTCGCGGATGTCTCCTTTTCGCTTCCTATGTCCCTGGGGTTGGGCACGTGTCTTCTCCTTGCAATGACTGGATTTTCTCCATTCCAAAAGAGGAGATCTCGATGGTTTCTTTCGATCATCCCACTGATAGGTTATATCTTCACCATCCCATCTTCCAGAGCAACTGGACGTTTCATTCATACACTCCCCTCTCAACGTCTGTAGAAGGGTCTTTTCAGGTAAGATCAGCTCTGAAAGATTGTGGTTTCTTCTAGACCAAGAACAGGGAGGATCTTGTGCTCTTCTGGTATGATTAGGAAGCTTACTCTGGAAACTTTCCACAGTCTTCTTTTCCAGAGGGATGGAAATAGGTTGGTTTAGGACTGGGTCCCAGCCTTCTTCTTCTTCATCATCATCATCATCAACCTCATCATCATCATCATCTTCCTGTTCTTGCTCCTCCTCCTCTTCAGTCACTTCAGGAATACTAAACAGAGCCTTGCTGCGATTTTTTTGCAATGGCATTTCCAGAATCCGTTCCAAGATTTCTTCATCGCTGTCAGTATCACCAAGATCCAACTGTGCTCCAGACCCAGAAACCAGACCATCAAGGAAGAAGCAAAGAGAGAAAGAGGAATTAGGCATTAAAAGGTGGGTAAACAACACTTACCATCACTCCTGTAGATGGCATTAAATAAGGACTAGACAAATTCACAAAGTTAAAAGTCAATCAATGGCGATGAATGAAGGCAATTAAATAGAAGAGCGATACTCAGAGGAAGATCAATTCTTCAAATTTATTGCTGAACCACAGGTTTTGATTCCATAATTGTGGGCTTCCCTATTGAAAGCAAGATTCTAGTTTTGATAAATCTATTTTCATCTGGCTCCAACAGGGTTCTTTCAATGTGTTGAACCCTGTTAGAATCCATTGCCAAGACCTATGTTGCTAAGCTAAAGAAGCCATTCCTTTACATAGAAAAAAATGTGGGAAAATGGAAATGGGCAAATAAATGGTTGAGCCTCCAGCTGTACATCCGGAACTGAAGTATCTCTTGACATTATTACATATCACATGGCTACTCCAATCTACCTGAAATATATTATGATTACTATGATCATTTATATACCATTCTTCCTCCCATAGAAGGATGTACTTTAGTTTGTCCCACCTACATAACTACCACATGTATTAGGTACCGTATATACTCGAGTATA